TCTCGCTCTCATCACATTGAATCTACACAGACAGAGTATAAAACGAACCAAGTCTGTCTGACTCGAGTCAAGACAAGAATCATTTCCTGAATTCGTATTTACGAGTCAGAGTCAACATAGCTTCGGTGCTATACCATGAATACAGGTAAGAATCGAGTCCAGTACTCGAGTAGTTGCGGTATCGAGTCGGGAAAGTACTCCCCACATCACTAGAGATAGATAAGTAATTGGAAGAATCTGAATAGCATAGCATCAGCATCCTATAAATTGACATTTTTCACAGATAGTCACCTCACTAGTGCCGACAATAACGTTCAACTAGAGAACCCGTGCGGCTCAATGAGCCGCATAGTATGAAACATAATGCCTAGAAAAACGTTATGCTTAAATTCGAGTAATTCTAGTTACAACTTAGAGTTGTTTAAACACTTGTTAGAAACAAATTTTAAATATCTGTATTTGCGTTGTCAAGGTTCATCTACATTATTTCTGCTCTCATTTTTAACTGATAATTAACTTCTAATTAATGCTAAACGATCTGTTTCGATTTGAGTTAACATGATGACACTAAGTTTTTCCAGCATTGAGAATTGAAGAAAACTGTTGCCTTACTAATAACATGTGTTAAGTAATTTAAGTTGGGTCATTGTATTTCTTTGATTTGAGACATCCCTCTAATAAAACAAATTTTCTCCGTAGAGAATCCTGAAAAGTGGGGTGATACAGTATCAACCATTTCATGTGCCCCATTTTTGAACAGTGTATATATTTGCCCCTCTTGAATCATTAAAATAAACTTGACCGTAACTACTCGATCGTTGAATACATAAACAATAAGTCCTTCACTTATGTTTGGTCTAATATTGCCACTAAAACTTTCAATAACAAATGAGTTTTTGAAACTTCTTATTTTCGACTTGAAATGTCTGGATTGTGTTGGTGAATTCAGTCAAAAAACTTTGTGTAAGTTTTTCCGAGAAACTGGCAATATGACCTAGAAGTAAACAATCCATTTGCGTTTTTCTCAATTGAAGTAGAGCGAGTAATACAAAAGTTAACAATAAAAACATAAGGTCCGCCAAGATTTGGTATAATCATACTACCGGTACTTGATCATAGTCCAGGCATTATTATAGTTTCTAATAAATGTTTTGAAATATCTCAATCTGTCAGTGTCAGAAGTAAAAATTTCTTCCATGCATTCATTTCATCTGACATTAGGCAAGTTTACTTTACTACCGTGACAACACTATGTGCTTCGTATATTTTATCACTTCCAAAGTAAGTTGCATAGCAGAGCTGGCCAATATTATCCATCCCACTAAGTGAATGTGTATCTGGGTGGGTATCTGTTAACCAGGCCTCTCTTTTTCTACTCTCCTCATACGCATAAGATATCTTATTATTAATTGTCTCATCCTCCCGTTTTCAATATTTCTTCTTTGAACTTGAGGCATTTCTGTTCTTCCAACAAAACCGATTAACTGTTTAACTTGGTCTTAACCTACTGAATATTACAAACATTAATATTTACTCTCAAAAAGCTAATGAGTTTCTTTTTATAAACAGATGTTTTTTGTTTTTGAATTTGTTCTATGCATTTCTTATGGGGAAAATCCAACCTTTGAGAGGGCCTCACACCCTTAAGAGTAGGAATTTTAAAATTCTAAAACCTTATTGCAAAACTACATATTGAGACGAATCTTTTGACACCTTAAACGTAGAAATCGGTTCACAAATAAGGGAGGAGTTGCGTTAACAAAAAACGGCTTCACGTATTATATATATGTATAGATAGATTTCTTATAAGCCAATCATCGATCCCAGGTTGGGGACGCGACTCTCGGCTTTTCAAACAAATAGTATCTTACTGTGTTTATCTTATATCTAATTGAGTTCAACGATCTAGCCAAGTGCGGTAGTCATGTACTAGCTACTCAACACTCCCTGCGAGTGTCGGTGCATACAGAGGATTCGTAGCAAATTACTACGGCTTTAAATAGCAATATTGTCCTTTAAACCTTTAGTTTATCAATTGTAGTTTTCTTTTGTCATCGTTAAACCGGTTTATTGTGCCTGAATAATTTAATATTACAAATAAATAAATAAACTTACATGTTCTATGTTTCAGTGACACCTAGCGGTTAAAGCGGTTACTAGGTAAACTGCTGCACACTAATACACTCTAGCGGCGAGTTGGCGAACTGCGGCGCACTTGGGCTAGTGAGTAGTGACACCTAGCGGTAACTTGGCGAACTGCGGCACTCGAAGGCCAAGGCCCTGGCCGCACAATTTGTTTTTCAGGATTAATTTTGCCAACAGTGTCATTTAGAGGCTTCTGATCGACTATAACGAAGGTTTAGTAATTGAAAAATTATTTTTGTTCATAGAATAAAATTATAAATGCCTCAAATTCAATTTTATATTTTTTATTATGAAATTAAACCGTCATAACCTAACCAAACCAACCAAACGTGCTGACAATGAAAAAATCTAATGAAGGTTTATTAATCGAAAAATTGTTCTGTTCATAAAATAAAATTATAAATACCTCAAATCCTATTTTATAATTTTTTATTATAAAATTTAACTATCATAACCTAACCAAACTAACCAGACTTGCTAACAATGAAAAATCAAATGAAGGTTTAACCGAAAAAAAAATATTTCTGTTCATAAAATAAAACTATAAATGGGTCAAATTCAATTTCATAATGTTTTAATTTTAAATCAAACCGTCATAACCTAACCAAACCAACCAAACTTGTTGATAATGAAAAAAATCCAGTACAAAAAAAAGTGTGCTATGGGTGGGATTTGTACCCGGGACTTTCGGATCATTAGCCTAGCCACGCCTAGCACTCTATCCACTTTACCACCGAGGCCGTTGACATCGACCGTATCGTGGCGGTAATGATGTTCCCTCAGCCAATCAGAAGCCTCAAAATAATACTGTAGGCAACACTAATCCTGAAATAAAAATTCAGCGCCCTGCACCTGTCAGTCACAGTCACACAATGGCGATGTCGAGTTTACTCGCCGCTATTAGTCGCCACTACTTTTAGTCGCCACTACTTTTAGTCGCCGCTACTTTTAGTCGCCACTCGTACTCGCAGGCTTGAAAAACACTTTCAGTCACACATGGCGAGTTGTAGCGGCTACTTCAGTCTGGTTGAGTAGGAAATTACTGTGCTGAGGAAAATGTCATCTTTGGTATTAAAGAGGGAGGCTTTAAGACGTCTGTTGCTGATTTGCGTACGTGATCTGCGCAAAAATCAAGAGGAAGAATAAACGCAAGTGGGTTTGGCATTTCAATCGTAATAGACGAAACTATCAAATCAAGTACTGTACTAAACAGCTGCTTATTGCATTTGCAAAATTTAAAATAAGCTAGAAGTCTTTTTGAGAGGTTATCTTTAGAGAAAAATATGTTTGTTTTCTAACTTAGTTTGTTACTAATGTTGCATATGACGAAAATATAGTTCAACACAAGGACAAAAAGTGTCTGTTCAACCCTCGCTCATTTTGCAACAAAAAAAGGGGTTGAAAATTGAGCTCGGGTCGAAAAGAGTCGCTTTACGCCCTAGTGATGAAATATAATAAAGTTTCAGCGCTAGGGGTATTTTGTAATTGAGAAATGCGAATAGTAAACGCTTTTAGAAGAAAACGTACGAAACACCACTTATTTGTGTATGCCGGGTATTGAACCCAGACCTCTAGAACCAAAGGTTATAACCATTAGTTCCTTACCCACTGACGCCACTATTTGTTGAGCTACCAACTTCTTACCCACGGACGCTAGGCTCTGTTGGGTGGTGAGGTGAGCGCGTGCGTGGGCGGTCCCGCCAAAATGTTAGTTACTCCCGCGCTTTCAGCATGGGCGGACATTGAGTTAAACCTAATAGTCAATGGTTAAACGCTGAACTTGGGTCACGAAATATTCACTTCGATCCTGTGTGCGAGACGTTGATTAGCCGCGTTTTAGAGTTACCGGTATGGATACACTTAAGTGGTAAAGCGTTTTAATTGTTTCAGCTACATAAGAACATCAATTTAAATTAACAAATCGCAGCATAGTTTCAAGGTTATTAAAGTGTAAAATTCCCTAATTGGACAGTTGTTGATGTTTGCATAAAATTGTCTAAAGTATTTGTTGACAGCTTTGGTCCATTAAAAAAATTAAAATAGGAATCAAATTTTATTTATTTTTATTTTGAAAACTGAGTTTATTAATGAGCTTTGCCTATTAGACACAGTAGAAAAAACTTAAATTTATGATATTAATAATATGTAACTTAGATTAATAACGTTGTCCATATAAATGATTTTGAATGATTTTACATGATTATTTTAACACTTTTATGACTATTTCATTTTTTAATTTTGATGGAAGATTATATTTTCTTTTTAATTCTTCAAACATTTTTGTAATAGTCCCTCTTGCAGCAATCATTATGCCAATTACTGATATAGAATTTAGATTAATTTTTTTTCTTAAATAAGTTTCACATTTACTATAAATTTTCCTCTTTTCTTCACCTACTTCTAGGAGTTGATTTGTTGATGTTTCGAACCTTTTAGTTGGATCAATTACAATTCCACTTTTAGATTTTGTATCATATATTAAAATGTCCAATCTTCTGTTCGATCCACCATCTTCAATGCAATGTGTTTCTTCTACTACTTGCCAGTCAGGTTTCCCGGTTACAAACTGTGCTGGCCAGTGATTTAGTATACCCCCAACCTAACAATAGTGACAGCTGAATTGGGCAATGAGGTTGTCCAGATTGCACCCAGCCCTTTTGACTCATGGAGAAGACTGTATAATGTGTGAGGGTATAGAAAGGCTATAAATTCGCTTTCGTCATTTTAACGAGTTGTTCAAGGAACGGACCAAACCACGGCCTTATAATAATTTTTTACTAGCCAAATGCTAGATTATATGGGTCAAGACCCTTATAAATAATTAGGTACGGTATTTAAACATCAATTATGTCTAGATGCCAACAACGCTGTCGTCCGAGACAAGAGAGAGCCAAGTCGGTCCATGACGTTCAGCGGGTTCATGCCTGGCAAAGGACTGTCAGCTTTCGCGACCAGCGGGGACTTCGCCCCCTACGGTAGACGACCGTGGAGCCAGGGCGAGTCAGCCCAGCCGTCAGGGGAGGAGCACCCTCCTGAGCGAGGGCAGAGTCCATGGACACCTGAGGACAAGGGAAGGGACGAGGAGGAAGAAGAGGTTCCACCGCCGCGACCTGGAAAGAAGAACAAGAAGAAGTACAATACTAGGGAAGAGGACGAGGAGGAGTACGAAAAACCCGGTAGAGGTAGGTTTAAAAATGTTGAATAGAAAAGTGAAAATGTAGTTTTTAAAGGACGAGTAATATAATAATCCAATGATCATATTACAACAGTAGCAATGGATTTTAGATACTGAAATAGACATGTCATCTACATAAAATCTGCTGCAGCCTATTTTTTTTTTACAAAAAAAACATTGTAGAATAAACCTCTCGCAGAGTATGCTTCATTATGAAATTATATTTCTGTCCATTAGCTTTTGTTGTTCTGATGTGGCATAAAAGGTTCTTTAGCTTACAATAAGTTGTTGTTTCAGTCTATCTTGGTTAAAAGTTGGTGTATTTAAAATGAATCAGCAAGTACATCAGCGTACTCTGTCGATGACTCAATGTAAATAAGAGTAGTTATATTCACATGTTATAGAATCTCTAGTTATATCCAGTAAAAGATAGTAGACTTTTGATGGGTTGAAGATAGAAATGGCTGGCTGAACAAGAAAAGCATAATCCGTTCTTAAAGCATCAAAATAGTAGTTCAATTGAGTTTTCCTACCCTATTATACCATTAACATTACATCGAGACATGAATACAATAATGAGTGTAGCCTGATATGAGTGAACAGTGATTGTATAATGGAGTGCATGCCTTGTGTTGTGTAGCTTTGTTACCGAGTAAGACCAGTTGTTTCTTTAGTTATTTATTGAAATGTAGAATGTAAATACAAATGTAAAATATGTTTGTCCGTTCCAGGAGGTAACGCAGCAGCGTCGTTCAACGCATGGTTCCCCATCATGCTTGGGATGTTCCCCTCGTCTTTTGGAGACGAAGGAGGATACTCTAGGGGTTACCCACAACAGGGACATGGAGGAAGCTACCCTAGCCAGGGGTCAGGAGGTCATGGACCCAGCTATCCTGGTCAAGGTCCCAACTACCCTAGCCAGGGGTCAGGAGGTCATGGACCCAGCTATCCTGGCCAAGGTCCCAACTACCCTAGTCAGGGGCACCAAGGGGGATTCCGGTACCCTCAAGGGGGTCCCCACACGACCGTCATTGCCAATAGCGTCAGCAACGGACGCAGCGGCGTGGCGAGTAGTCACGCTATAGCCTACGGGGGCGGAAGCAACCCTCAGCACCAACGGTGACCTACTGTACATACACTGCCTCCAACCCACCATCACCTACAACATATTGTGTATCTAGAATAAATATTTGTCATTAGTAACAGTTTTGTTTGATATCTTCCCTTTGTTTACACCTTCCAACGCAAATTATATTATTTTGTGAGTTTGTAAGAATTTTTTCTGTATTGTTAGGGTTAATTAGGGTCCTATTGTTATATTGTATCTATACTTATTTAATACGCAAGCAGGATTTTTGTGACAATTACTCCTCCGAAACTACTGAACCGATTGACATGTTTTTGGTCTCATTGGAAAGAGCGTAACGTGAAGTTGTGCAGGAAACTTTCTTTTTAGGGAAATAATTAGAGAGTGAGGCCCTGGGGCCCTTTAAAGTTTCGTATTTCTCCATAAGATTAACATGGGAAACAAAAATTGTTATTAAACTCCAGCTGTTGTCAGAAATTAAAAGTGAGAAGAAGAACATATGTTGTAAACCGTTAATAAGTTTGCTAATTTAACAGTTTGCTACAAACATTTACTGACTTGGTTGAAATGAAATGTTTACTATTTGAATTTGGGTTGGCGTAAATATTACAATGGAAAAAAGTGAGAGAGCCTAGGATAAATTTATATCTTAAAAAGAAAACTGAATTAACACTGTGCTGCATTTCTTATTAATCATTGAAAGAGCCCATTTGCAAACTATGGAACCAAAGGAAAGTCATAGAACACCACCAAGGACTAAGGAGAAGAAATAGAAATTTTGTTTGTTTATAATGTTATTATGGGTAACCTAATGCGGCTACGAGTAAGGCTATTTGTAGAAAACGCTAAAAAACAAGATCAGCTTTTAAAAAAATGATAAGATATTTGTGATTATTGTGATATTGTGATATTTGTGTGTCAGATAAGATATCTGACAAGAAATTGTGATTATATCGATCTGTTATGTACCTACATCATGAGTATTTCCAAAATCTTTGAGTTGAATCTTTTAAAGTCTTTAGAAATTATGACTGTTATTCATTTTAAAATAACGCCTTTAATACTTAGCAATTGCTCGAATTCGAGCAACAGGGACACTAGTTGTTTATTATTAGCCAAATGAGAAACGTAATCTTGTTCCACAATCTACCCCTCTTTGTATCGGACTGGCATCCTTTACGTTTTTAAACGAACTCTACATAAATTTAATCGACAAACTTTAATCCAGGGATAGTTGAATTTCGTTGTCAGATTCCATTTAGAAAATGGTTTCTTTGGTTTCTTGATATCTGACTGACTCAAATCCAAAAATAGTTGGGTGGAAAGAGCTCTCCTCAGAAGCAATACTTAACTAGATAGTAGATGGAATTTAAAAGTTTTAATGGAGAGTGATCTCGAGTGAGTAGGGTAGTCTTGTCACTACACACATTATCCACCTACAAACACTTGTTAAGTAGTTCGAATTTATAAACAAAAATCCACAAGATTTATACAAAAAAAGTATAACCTACATTGTAATAATTGTACTACTGTTAACATGATAATATAACAATAACATTATTTTTATAGTTTAGACACTTAAATAAGTCGAAAGCAGAGCCTGGGTTGATACAGCAACGGTTATAGAATCTTTTTTTTCATAATCAATGATATAGTTTTTTAATAAAATAATCTATGTCAAAGTTTAAGAATAAATAAACCTACCACATGGTTGTGTAAAATATTATATTTAATTTGTTTGGATCAGCTGTCTGAAATGAATTGTGGAATAAGCAATTTGGCAGTTCTGTTTGTTTACATTGAAATGTCAACGCAAAGGTAAACAAAGTTTGTGAATTTTCCCATGCTTCCATGAAGACCAATTAATATTTACTTTTGAAAACCTCACCTCAAAACTTTGGACATCCAAGATGCGTAGACCGAGAGGAAGTTTGTTTGAAAGGTTTGAAAGGTTTGAATTTTCTAACAAATTTAGTTAAAAAGATATAAAGCCGTTTCCAGACTTTTTTGTCACCCTGCATATCTGAAAATATATATATTTGAAAAAAAAAATATATATATAAAAATATATATATGTATATATGGAAATATATATTCGAAAATATATATATATATCTGAAAAATATATAATCTTGTCTTGTGCAGTGATGTATTACCTATTGTTTTTACTTGAGTAGACATTTTTATCTTAAGAAAATAGAAACAATGTTTTGTTAGCATGGGGTGGGCACTTAATGCCTTACAGTTCTTTGTGAAATCACTACCTAAAACTGAAGTAAAAAGCAAAAGGCTCTATTCGAGCAATATATTAACATTGCATAATTAAGATGCTTCGGGAATTTAGTTCAGCACCTACCCTTAAGCACCACTTCGAACATCCAGCATATATTTTGAAGAATACACAAAAAACCACATCAGCTTTTGAAAAATGATTAACTATTTACAAGAAATGGTTATGGAACTGTTATGTACATTGTGAGCATTTCCATTAGTTACATAATATTTGAGTTGACTCTCAAAATATACAACAAAATAGGTAATAAAAGACAACTCTTATCCCAGTCGTGGTCGGGTTTCATAATAGGGTTTCGTTTAGGATTGGAATAGTTTCTTGATATTCAATCAAACTTCAATGGTAGGTTGGTAGAACCAACCCACCTTTTAGTTTTCTGGATGTGTAGGTTAGTCTCCTTTCCCTTGATAAATGGATCACCTCCAAAGCAGAAGAAAGACGAGGTTAAAGGTTAACCACCTCAGATTTATCTAAGGTCAGGGAGATATTCTTTTGGTATATATGCCTAGAGTATAAATTAATGTCATTTATGTTTTAATTATTTATAGTTTTTTCATGAAAATGTTTTGTAGCTTTTATTTTTCCGTTTTATTTGATTTAAAATAATATTATACATGAAGTATGAGATCCCAATTAAGAATATAGACCTCCAATTAAAAATAGCAAAACCGCCAATAGACCGATGTTATTCCTCAGTACATATGCTATCTTTGTTTGTAGGTCTATTATACATCCATTTTCCACGTTAAAGCGTTACAAACTCACATTCACGTTTATAAAACAATATTGGCATTATTTAAGGTATTAAATTACCATACTTGTTTAGAAATGATTATCATTTTCATGTGTTTTTGCAATTTTAAAATGTTGTTTATATTTTTGCAAAGTCAAGGTCAGAGGCAGTTCTTGTATTGGGGGACGATCTAGGAGAGTTGGCCATTCGATTTGGTTTAATTTGTAGCTCAGCATTACGAATACACCAAAATATGTATTTAAATAAACGGTATCAGCATTCTGACACATACTTTCTCCCATAAGTTTGTCAACAACCATTATCATGTGTAAGCGGTGAGAGTAAATATACGGAAATGGGATTTGTACAATTTTGTTCATAATTTAAGAACTATAACATACTAAATTTTTATCAAAATTGTTCGGGTCATTTTTGGAAAAATCCTATTATTCCGTTATTTTATGGAGTTTTATGGGAAAATCCCAATTAAAAATCAAAATTTATAAAAAATGGAAAAAAAACTATTAAAATTGTAAGGATCATAACATAAGTTACTATGTTAAATCTAAACAGGATTTTTGATAAAATCCTATTTTTCGATGTTTTATGGGGTTTTTATGGGAAAATAACATAATTTACAATAACTTTTGAACCGTAATTTTTACAGAAATGGGATTTGTACCATTTTGATCAGAATTGAAAGGGCTACAACATACTAAATTTTTATTAAAATCGTTAGGGCCATTTTTTAGAAAAACCGATTTTTCCGGTTTTATATGGGGTTTTATGGGGAAATACCCATTAAAAATCAAAATTTCAAAAAAATGAAAAAAAACGCCTGGAGATGCCATGGATTAGAACCAAATTTCATCGAAACCGGACCAGAGGTGTAGTCCCTAGCTCAGTACACATCCAGACACACAGACACAGACATCACTTCGAAAACCACTTTTTTGGGTCCAGGGGGACCCAAAACGAATATATCCACTCAAAACTCAAACTCGAAAATTTTGACGAAAACAATACTTTCTCCATATTCTATGGTATAGGGGGAGAAAGTAAAAACGAAAAGATTTATCACACAGTTGTGAGGTGACAGCAAATTAGACACTGCACTAGTACTGAGTAACAAAACAATTCTCATTAAACAGTACATGAAGATACAGTAACTAGAATAAACGCCTCTTCAAACATCTTCATAACGATAAAACACTACAGTTGAAGGTGGAGTTCCTTTTAAATCTCAGATCACATGAAATATTTAAGCCTTTTCCTTCGTTCGATATGGCAACAGTGTAGCTTTAGTCGTAAAACGATGCACCAACTGCATGCAATGAATGTGTCCTGCACGCGTTATGTCTCCCGTGGACGCATTTGGCAGCCGAAACTCCATTGTGGACTTCAAACTGCCGCACATTTACACATAATCCTCACATGTCATATTGTGAATGTCAAATTATCTCGAGAACATCAGTTCTTTACATAATTTGCTATTCAGCCGTTTCAAGCAAGTGAAACAGTACTGAATCATCGATGGAATTCTGCACAAGTTTATATTTAGGCTTTCATAGTAAGCCGCCATAGTATATATTAAGAAACTGGACACCATTTGTTTAATGTTGGTCGAGTAAGAAGTACTGTAAATGATGTAAATTAAGTAGTATAAATGTATGTTCTGGTATTTAGAAAGTATCTCATCTAACAGACCTAATTTCATGGCAGTAAGCCAAAGAATGATTGCCTTTTAGGTTATGCTGACTACTCAATCCTCTAGGAATGAAGGAAGTGTGGAAGTTCTTATTGCCTGTGTTTTTTGTAGTTTAAGACAGTTTCTACACTCAATCGACTGATTTTTGCAACTTTAACCTTCAATAACAACAGCATGCGTATACCTTAGTCTGAAAACGATTGAGCTAAGTCCATTGCATTCGAATACTTTTGTAGTAGTGCTGGATAGTAGAAGACATTCCGACTTTAAAAAGTCCGTCCATGATAAAAAAACTGTGTCAAGCAAAACTAATTGGTACAAATAGGTTTTAAGGTCTGTGTGTTTAGAAATTATGTGGTTATCGTAAAACGAAAGTCATAAT